AGGAAAGTTCAAGGATGGAAAGAAAAAATGCTCTCAACGACGGGTAAAGAGATTCTAATAAAGGCCGTAGCCCAAGCAGTCCCGGTCTTTGCAATGGCATGTTTTGATCTGACCAAGACTTTATGTAACCAGATTAGTGAGATGATCTGCAGATACTGGTGGAGTAATATGGACAAAGAACATAAAATCCATTGGGTTAGTCGGGAACATATGATGCTGCCAAAGAAGGATGGAGGGCTAGGTTTCAGGGATCTCCATGTGTTTAACAGAGCCATGTTAGCGAGGCAAGCATGGAGGTTAGCAAATGCGCCCAACTCTCTTTGCGCTAGAGTTCTATCTGCGAAATACTACCCATCAGGTCAGATTATTAGAGCAGTGCCAAAGGATGGCATGTCTTATTCGTGGAGAAGCATCCTTAAAGGAGTTCAACTGCTAAGAGAAGGTGTAATCTGGAGAATAGGCAATGGTGAGAAGGTGAACATATGGAATGACCCATGGATCCCACGAGGTAAGAGTAGAAAACCTGCCACTCCCCAAAGAAGGAATGTCATCCTCCACAAAGTCTCAGGACTAATTAACCCAATAGATGGTGATTGGGATGAAGACCTAATAAAACAAACGTTTAATGAGAAAGATGCAGAGGAAATTCTGCAAATACCAATCAGCGAAGGAAACGAGGACTGGCTTGCATGGCACTTTGATAAAAGGGGCTTATTCTCTGTGAAATCAGCTTATCAAGTGGCCATTGAAACAGATGCAAGGAAGTCTATCCATGGTATTTCTTCTGCATCTAGCACAACAGCTGACCACTTACCCTTTGAGTGGGAGAAAATATGGAGGCTTCCACTACCGGCAAAAATCTTGCACTTTTTATGGAGAATGGCAAGAAACAGTCTGCCATTGAGACAAAAACTAATTCAGCGAGGAGTTAAAGCAGACCCATGGTGCCCAGTATGCTTACGTACTGACGAGGATGGAGGGCACACCTTCAAATGCAAACCAGTGAAGCACATATGGAGGGCGGCTCAAATGGGGGATATAAGGGAAAATCTTAGCATTTGTTGTAGCCCGAAAGATGTGCTCATTCGAATTTTTGAGCTTGATCAGAGGAAGAGTGCAAGAGCAAGTATTCTTATGTGGCTTTGGTGGCACGAGAGAAATAAAGCTAATAAAGGAGAGGCTATAAGAAGTACAACTGAAATTCTAGAATCCCTCGAAAAGCATGATAGAGAATCTGACAAGTTTTTTAAGAGGAAATGTACTAAAAAAACAACGACCAAGGATAGTTGTTGGAAACCGCCAGAGGAAAATTATCTAAAGATAAATATAGACGGAGCCTTCACAAAGGACACAAAGAAGGGAGGATGGGGTTTCATTATCAGAAACTCTGAAGGAGGAGTAGAAGCAGCAGGGGCAGGGAGATTGTCAAGACTCTCTGAGGCAATTCAAGCAGAAACAATTGCCCTGTTATATGCCGTGGAGAGAGCAAGTGAGTTGGGATGCAGGAATGTAATCTTCGAAACGGATGCATTGGTGCTGAAACAAGCTATTGACGGAGACGCCTACGATAATTCAGTTTTCGGTGCCCTGTTTCGAGAAGCAAAGTTTAAACTCTTGTACTATTTTCAGTCTGCTTTTATCAATTGGTGTCCCAGGTCCTGTAATGTAGCTGCCCATAAGCTAGCGTCGTTTGGCGCGAGTTTGGTTGAGCCAGATATATGTATGTGGTTGTCAGATGTACCAAACTTTGTAACCGAAGCGGTTGCCAGTGATTTTGTTGGCCCGTATGTGTAATGAAGTAAGTTTTCCTTTCAAAAAAAAAAACATAGATGACTAGTAACATATGCATATTACTAGTCAAAGTTACTCCTCACTGTGGCTAGTCTCATGTCGTTGTTTTCAACACTAGGGAGACCTAACACCGCTTGATTCTTGGTGGATGCATCTCAAAACGAATTTATGCATAACACCATGGAAACTGGCCGCGCTCTGCTCTGCCAGTTGCATCCATCGTCTCCCACGCCCTCCTTCCCCTGTACAATGCTCGGTCACAGCAACATTAGTAATCAATATAGTATTCCGCACCGCAACCGCAATGACTGACTCGTCGTTGCTCCTGCCGGACCTCATCCGCCGCGTCAGCTACAGCCTGTTGGACACAACTGACGTCAACTACTACATGGATATGAGGGCTATCTGCCACAGCTGGCGCTCTGACATGGCCGATAGGAGCAGGCGTAGCTCATCTCCTCTATGCCTTACTATGTAACAAAGGGTCTCCTGTCGCAATTTTAGTCCTAAGGCCGTTTACCCCGAAAAGGATTAGGTTTAAATGGATTAGGGAGGCTCACGAGAAAAATGTCCCGGCGGAGCTTCTCGCTGCTGACTGTCGTCGCCCTGTCCACCAGGTAAGAAACCATGTGCACCCGGCTTTGCGTATAGCATACGGAACATCTGCTTCATTTTCCCTACTGGACATCATCCCTTCTTTCTCACCGGTGATCTCGATGGAAGCGCCGCGGGCGCAGCTGGCGGCGGAGGGTCTATGTTAGAGTTAACCTTGTTGTCTGGGTGTCACCATGTTTATTTCGTCACATTAGTTCGTTCATGCATGTAGTTAAGTTGAAGGCTTGAGGCTGCCGCAGTGAGCGTGCTCCTAGAAGTGTGGAGACGAGTACACATGCAAGCTAATAGTGCCTAGTTAGTTAGTTGAGTTAGCAACATGCGTGTACAGCTCCGTGTAGTCCGGCGGCAGATCAGCGTGGAGCTAGAGGCGGATGCAATCAGTTGAGGCGTGCGTCAAGTGTGCCGTTGTGGGCAAGCTGCCTGTACATGCAGGAATAATCGGATCAAGCAGCTGGCTTGGCCGTCGCGTCTGCATGCAAGGTAGTGGGGTTAGTGGGTGCGTGTGTGTTGTGTAGGTCTGGTACTTAAACATGTACTGAGTTCATTTGAGTAGAGAAGAAATAGAGAAAAGGCAAAAGTGTGTGTGCCAAGAGTCTCTGTGCGTATCTTCTTCAACCTCCAGACTTGTGTGTGTTCTTCTTTCTCCTTGGGCAAACCCAACAGTCTAATGGTAGCACCGGCTTCTCCACGCCCACAATGGCTGGCCGCTCGTGCTTTCCAGCCCTCTGCCAAACACGTTGAGCTATCACCATGTTGTGCGCCTGCCGGTGATTCTGGCGGCTGCTATTTCTCGATGGGCATCGCTGTCACGGCTGCGATAGACCAGCCGAGAAGGGGACTTGGCTGACAAGGACATGAGGAGCATGTAGTAGATAGGATTATTGGCAGAGGTGGACCAGGGGAAAGGAGGACGGGGCTTGCGGCGGTAGCGCATGTGTTGATTGCCCTAAACGATCGTCCATATTGTGCCTCGATACGAGGGGAGGGGAAGCGAGAGAGGCGGTCTGGTTTTCCTTGGTCTTGATGCGTGGGCAGACCGGAGAGAAAAGCAAAAACGAAAGATAGGGTTCTTTGGGGGGAAATCGGTGGAGGGGTGGGGGATCACGCGAGGGGTGGAGGGAGTTAACGAACGAATGAAACTTACGAAGTCCCCCTAAAAGTAGAGATTATGTCATGTTACTTTTGTTTGTCTGATTTTCTATAGTGTTGGAATCATTCCGTAACATTATGGTGAAGTTTTGTATTTCTTTTTTATAACACGGTAAAGTTGTGGATGCTCACATACATCCATCCTTATGCACATGTACACTTTATCCCTTTGAGCACCTTCGAGATAGTCGACACGAAGGTCTCCTACCACTGAACGAACATCACCGGAAGCCTAAAATAAATCTAGAGAAAACGAGCACTAGTGCAAAATCATGGACAGGAACCTAGTGGGCTGGTTCACCGGACAGAACCTAACCATCCAAGTTATGCTGAGGTTGCTAAGTTTTTGTGTTTCGACAGCTGTACTTCTAGGGAATCATCTCCGCCCTAAGCATGTTCATCCCGTATTGCTTCCTATCTTTCTGGATGGCGCTCAAGGGCTTTCAAAATCCTTTATTGGTAATCAAGTTCGTGCAGATGAACAGGTAGCAGTAGCGCTACTCTAGTCAGAATTGCAGCCCTCTCGCGGTATTTCATATTGCAAAAATTGATACCACACAAAAGATGTCTCCAATTATTTTATTTTTTATTATAATTCTTAGTTGTGAGAGTTATAAAAATTTGGATCTTAGATCTAAAGCAACCTACCTATAATGGTTATGAAAATGGATAAAGTTACAAGCCTATCTAAAAAGAAATTGTACTCGCTCTGATCCATATTACTTGTAGCTGGTTTAGTACAATTTTATACTAAAGTCGTATTAAACCAGCGACAAGTAATATTTATCGAAGGGACTATCATACTTATTTGAGAGTTGTAAAATAATTTAAATACAAATTCTAATCTGTGGAACTGCAATTGGTGATTGACCCATGGCCATGGTTACATTTGCTAATATATCGGAGACAATACATCCTCCTCCACAAGAAAAGATCCCAAACTTTCCTCTTCCTCTATCGGCGCCAACGTCGGTTTGCCCCATCTCCGATGGCCTTTGGGCCATGGAGGTGCGGAGGACCTCGCGCCACCACCGGCGGGAGGGACCCCGCTCTAGTTCTTTTTACGTGCAATGTCTTGGTTGGGGCTGTGTGGCGGTGGCGATGTCCCTCGGTAGGAATAATATCTCCCACGTTCTATCCCCGTCTGAATGGTGTGTCCAGCATCGTTGGAGGACGTGTGGAGGTGTCTCTCCGTCGGAACTTGTGGATTCGGTCGGTGCTGGTCTTTGGTGGATCAGCTTGGATCCGGTCTACGTTCTTCTTTGTTTGGGTGTTTATAGATTTGATGCTTCCGATTTACGACTTTCTCATCGGCGATGATTGCTACTTTGGTGCACTTGTCCTATGGGGTGTTAGCATGACGGCTTTTCGACTGTTCACAACAAAAAGGTTTGCCCGGCTCCAAAAAAAGGAGGAGCGATGACGGTGCCGTGTTTTTGGCTCACTCAAGTGTGTATAGTCGTCGCTACATGGTCCACGGACCTGGTTGTAAGTTGTATTACTTGATAGAAAGTTTCTCACGCCAACAAAAGATACTGACAAAATACAACACTGACGTGGCTCCCCAACGGAAGTTCCAAAAATACAATGGTGGTGGCAGTGGAGGTGTTTGATAACTTGACAGGGTGAAAGGCCCAATCCGTACTCAGATATCAGGTGGCGCGTGGAGCTAGAACCGGGCGTACAGTAGGCGCTCGAAATCGTTGAGGATCGCGATCTCCATACACATGAGGACGCGCACGCTGCCGTCCCCCTTCCCGCTGTCCATCAGATAGACGAACCCGGCGCGCTCCGACACGGCGCGCAGCATTGCCAGCGGCTTCCCCCACCCGAAGTCCACCTCGTACACCGGCATGCCAAGCCAGCTGATCACCCGCAGCTCCGTCTCTGGCATGCGCCCCGGCACCGGCTTGCTGTCCATCTCGGTGAGCTCGAAGTAGTCTAACGCCGAGCGCACTAGCTCGTCGTCCATCCGACGGACGGCGCTGCTGATCTGGCCGGCCACGAACACCAGGTCCTCCGACTCCGAGGAGGTGACGTCTCGCACCTTGCCAGCCGCGCCAAGCCAGATCATCCCGTTGCCGCAGTAGCCAGGCGGGAGCGGTGGCCTCATGCTGCGCCGGACGCTGGCCGGGAAGGTCAGGCGGGTGGTAGCGTCCGGTGGCAGCCGGCGGGCGACGCAGACGCACCGCCACACGTGGGCACTCAGGGCACAGAACGTGCTCGCGCGGCCGCCGTCGCCGCCGACGCAGGCACGCTTGAGAGCGGTGACCTGGTCCTTGGAGACGACGAAAGCCTGGGTGATGATGGTCTCCGACGGCTCGACGGATAGGTTCAGCTTGGGGCAGAAGGCCGAGAAGGCGTCGGGCTGGACCAAGGGTGGGGAGCGCGCGCGGAGGAGGGTGCGGTCGTGGAACGGGAGCTCTAGCGCCGCCTCGCCGCCGCCCCTGGAGAAGGCAGACCACGTCTGCAAGAAGTGGAACGCGCTGATGGCGTCGACGGCGACGTGGTGCAGGGCCGTCCCTAATGCCACCCCGCTGCACTTCAAGAAGGTCACCTGGACAGCGCACAAGACGGACGGCGAGTGGTCGTCGACGCGGGGAACAAAGAGCGTCCTCAGCTCGGGCGACGGCAAGAAGCTGCGGAAGTCGTCGATGGTGAGGTCCGAGCGAGCGACGACGAAGAGCGCGCCCTGGCCGGTGCAGTCGATCTCTGCCCGGCCGATGCCGTCCATGCCGAGGCGGCCGGCCAGGGGGTAGAAAGCCACGAGTGCCTTGGCCATCGCCGCCTTGAGCCTGGCCACGTCGAAGAAGTCACCGGGCTCGGAGCGGTACGGGTAGAAGTAGACGGCGGGGGTGTGGCCTCTGTTGAGCAGCAAGAGGTCGAGCGGGGAGAGCCACATGCCTCTCCTAGGCGTCTCCTGGCAGGGTGCCACCATGCACGACTCCACCACCTCCACCTTGTCCACATCCATTTTCGTCGCTTTCTTCGTAGAAAGCACCGCGCCCATTTTTCTCCTGCTGACTGAGCTGAGGTCGAGTGAAGAGACGGATGTGTAGCGCTCTTGCAGCAGCTCGCGCGCTTCTCCCATTTTATAGTCTACATGCACAGACGTGCACATGGTCCAGGGGTTTGTGTTCTTAATTAAAATGATTTTTTTAATTTGAATTGGATAGTGATGGGAAGGATGTGGATGTTCCCACTTGCATTGTGTCGGCTTTGTACCCTTAAACAGGGAGATTATCATGGTTCAATTCAAATTGTTCCTAGAAAAGACTTGTGTAAACTGTTTTGCAAAAAATAGGTATAAAAAAGTAGACCTCTAAATATGAAGTGAGATAGATGGCTTGGGAATGGTTTTCTGTATGGACACTGGTGAATCTGTGGGATAGATCTGAGAGGATATGTTTTTCACAGTTCACTACTTAAAATCTAGCGAAGATGGCATTGGTCGGTAATTTCTTTTGTTTTAAAGTGGATCTAATGGTCGTGGTTTTCTGATGTTTAAAATGAAAGGTTAGATGTTCCTAATTATTGTGAATTTTTCTAGTGTAATTCTTTTTATTCTGTTTAGCTCGGTTAGCCCGTCAAATACTTTTTATATAAAATAGAGAATATGTTTTTAGTTCATTGCTAGTACTTCAAATGTAGTGAAGATGGCATTGGTGGGTAATTTCCTTTGTTTTAAAGTGGATCTAGCGGTTGTGGTTTTCTGATGTTTACAATTAAAGGCTAGACGATGTTCCTAGTTACTGTGGGATTTTCTAGCATAATTCCTTTTTTTCTAGTTAGCCCGGTTAGCCCGTCAAATACTTTTTTATAGATAATAAATTCCGGTCGTAAATGTGCACGTGGCCCGGTTGCTCGCTCGCGGCAAGTGAGCTAGCTAAATGATACTCTCTCCGTCCTACAATGTAAGACGGTTTTTAAGCTACATTGTCTGACGGAGGGAGTAGTACTCAAAGACAACAACACTGCAGGTGCGCACCACCCACTGATGAACGGGAAAAGGAAACAAGCCAACGGTCCCCTTGATGGCTATATTTCAGCTCTCCAAAATAAATAGATGTCCCACTTCCTCTCTCTCTCTCTGTCTCCATGTCAATCAGCCCACGTAAAAAATGATGCAGATGTGCACGCAACGCCACACACATTTGTTTTTGGGGGGACATGGTGGTTGGAGTTAAGGCACACGAAAATGACAATGGGCAGGAACATGACGGCGACTGGGGGAAGTGGTGGATCCTTGAGAGTGAGAGCGGGCTCGCGCCATGCGTGGTGTGGTGACCATGGCGAGTTCATCGTGGATAGCCTGCCCTCCGGTATGGTAGGACGATGACGGAGGAGAGCAGCGAAAGAGTGGACGAGCTCGCGTGCTCCTGTTATTGTAGACGAATGGTACAAGGGCACGTGGGGACGGCAATTATGCCTCATGGAAGCGAAGAGGGAAAAGTGTGGATATGAGTGTAGGCCCCCCGTTGTATAGGCGACGGAGTTAGGCGTCACCGTAACGAGTCAAGGATGGTGTGCCATTGGTACCTGATCGATTCACATACCTGCGCCGGTATGTGCAACGGCGTCGATTGCCAGGAAACGCTTGACAGACGACTAGCACATGGAGTGTGATGACCCAAAAGAACCTCAGATGCTTTCACTGGGCGCGGCGAACCCATGGCGACCTTGGCGGCGGATGAGGACGGCTTCGAGTTCCTCTCAGATCCCGTCGACAGGTGTGCTTCCCCCAACCTGTTTCCCCTCATATGGTAGATTTCTCCTTCGGTGCTGTCTCATAGATCTCCATGGAACACTGCTGGCCAGGTTCCCCATTATGGCGATGCACGAGACTGTGTGCCCGTCCCCCAATCGACCTGTGATAGATCTAGTGGAAGCAGCCAACGCATGCAGCATACACGAGGTGGCTGACGGGGGACGCCACTTTAGCTCGATTTGAACAGGGTTTGCGATGCCGCTAGCACAGCTTCGACGGCAGAGTCCGAACAATCTACCGGCAAAGACGACCCGCAGGCTCCAGGCTGGAAAAAAGGTAATTGGTGTGTGTGCTTAGTGCATTCCTGTTGAGACGAATATACTGTTGTAGATGAGCGTCGTTGAAAGAATGCTGCTTTATACAATGGTTCCAGGAATACGATTTAGTTCTGTGATCAATTTCTATGCGGGGGTACATCATTGATGCAGGGGATGTGTTGGATGGGCTCCTATGGAGCAGCCGCCAGCAGATTTTGTGCCCTTGAGAAAACAATCAGGGGATACGCAGAGCCGAACATTCATACAGTAGTTGTGCCTGAACTTGGAAGTTCGATCAACTCATTTGGCGAGGTGTACGATTACTATAATTTGTGTTCCTGGAAGATTGGTTTCGGAATTAGGTACAGGAAGAGTGGATTGAGCATGGACAGAACCAAGTGTGACAACTAAAAAAAGTCTATGCAGGAAATTGAATGTGATTGCTCGGTACGCCATAGCTTCCAGCAGCTGATGCATTTTATTTCTACGTGCCTAAAACATTAATAAAATTTGTTCTGCACACTTGTTACAGAAATGTTTTTATGCTGATCGTATCAGGTTGACATGTATTAATAATATTATATGTAACCATATACAGACCAGTGCCGAGCAAATGGAGGTTGCAATACAGAAAGTCAAGCCAAATGTGCTACACCAGTGGTGCAAAATGGCATGTGTTGAAGAAGCTGGAAGAGTGTCTTGGGCATCTGTACACAAAGAGAAGCAATTTCAGAGATTATTTCCACAAGATAGGTCATCACATGCTGACGGTTGATGGGTTCGAGAAAGCATGGAAAGACTTGATGGATGCGTACAGATTGCAGAAGAACACATACTTGACTCTGTTCTACTAAGTCAGGACCAAGTGGGAAGAGCGATACTTCAAAGGTAAATTTTGTGCCAAGGTGACAAACACTCAACAGAGTGACAGTGCTAATCATATGCTTTCAGCATATGTCCCCGTGAGCTGCCCTATGCATTTGTTTGTTTGGCAGTACATGATTGTTATTCAATCGTGAGGCAAGCGAGAATCATGAAGAAAGGTGGACAAAAATTGCAAGTTTTTTGCCCAAAGATCAATTATTTTGATGTGTTCGATGTTCGGTTACTATATTGATGTCTCTGATCTTATTATATGACTCCGGTAATGAAGGTGAATACCCCACTAGAGTTGCATGCAAGCAATGTGCACACCCTTGCTATGTTCGAGAATTTGGTGAGCTTCTATATGAGGCAGGCCAATACAAGGTTGAGGAGGTCGAGAAGACCAGAAGGGTGTGAGGTACTTGGTTCGAAGATACCACCGAGAGAAGCACAAAAAAGTGCTGCAAGGTGGTCTATGAAGTTCAAGTGCTGAATCAGGGTAAGGAGATAGCATGATAATGTGGAATTTTTGAACATACAGGATTGATGTGTTGTGTATTGTCATGATGTGAAGGTAGAATTGTTTAGTTTAGTTTCCAAGGTTATGATGTGCTGCAAAAAAAAAACAGACTCATGACGATGCCATGTTCGCAGGTGCTTGACTTCCGAGGCTTACATGGATACTGGCTCACATCATGAAGAGGTGCTTCCGGAACACTTGATGTGCCTGCAGAAAGATCAGCTATCTAACAACTCCGTAACATCCAAACTTTTACACATACAACCTGTAGGTTATGCAGCTGGGTGGTGCAAACACAACAACATATGAACAACAGAGCAAGTAATCGGTTTGCTAAAATTGGCAATGCAGAAACTGACCCCAGTAGTTGCTGTCTGAGATGGGCTTGGATCGGAGGATTGCCTTCAAGCAAGCCTAAAGTTGTAGTGCATGTGGTGCCAAGTTCATTCGGAGGGTCAATTACTTGAGGCAAACGCGACTATCTTTGATTTATGTTTTTCTTGCAGAGGGCTCATCAAGCCGTGTGCAACCAATTTTCGGGAGTAGTGTTTTTCCAATAATAATTATGCAGCTAGACTGAGCGAAGCAGTTGTGTCCGATCAATTTGCTGGACTCCCAGTGTCTATGGCGTACTATAAATCTGTCGCAGTTGGGTACATGTCTATGCTGAAGTGTATGATTTCCGAATGGTTTGAGAAATTTAATTTGGGAGGACAGTTTTCGAAGTACACATTGCACACGTGTAAACTTCTTTGCGCCAGATGTGTTTGGACCAGATGTGGGGCATTTTCTTCTTTGAAATGTAGATGTGGGGAACCTCACTGAAGGAACACGTCGCTAGATGAGTTTTTCGGAGTACAGCACACGGTGTTAGCGAGTCGGCACCTCAGAAAGTAGCCCTAACGGAGAAGGAACGGACCTATACTATGTAACGTGCCAAGATGGTACAGGTCAGCACAGGACATCCACTTCGTTATGTATGAACGGACGGCGACACTGCATGTGAGCCACGGAAGGACCTTGCGCGCAGAATATTACTTTATGGATGGAACTGTATATCCAATAGTACATGCCACCGGGAGCATCCCGAGATGAATGAATGACTGCCGATTTCATGATCAGGCGAGCCCGGGCACGCCTACAAATTTTCGGATGACGGTGTTGCTATCTCGGGAGCAAGCGACGCACATGCCCATACGTACCGATCGTTCTGTTTTTTCTCTCGGCAACTCTAAATGATCCCTTATCTGGCGTTAAAGGAGAATAAATTTGGTTTTCCTCCCTTACACCGCACCTTGCCGATCCCTTAAATCTCAGAAGGGACAATCAAATTATCCTCCATCACCTAAAAGCCCTCCAATCTTTCTAAATATACCCGAGCCGTTCTCGGATAAGGAAAAATCCCGCCTCCTCTGTCGCCGCCGGAAACCACCCGCGCCGTCACCCGCGCCAAAGAAGAGATTGGGAATAAAAAAAAGTCCACCGAGTTCAAGCTCGGCCTCTAGCCGCGACAAAGGCCGCCAGGTGGGCGAGTGCCTCTCTGGCGCCGGACCGCCGCTCCCGACGATGCCAAAAGAGCTCGAAAGCCGACGACGGCGGCA